GTGTAATGGTTGGTTTGAGCTGAACAGTCGCCCATATTGGCGCCATGGCTATAGCGCCTGCGGCTAGGCAGACCCAGCGGCACCGCCGTCTTATTCATTGTGTGTCGACTGACAGGTTTGCAATTACATGACATTGGAATTATCAATTCCAATAATGAAGAAAAATAAGAACATTTAAGTTACTCGCACCGTGAGGCCTTTTATTGGCGTCATCACGCTAAAAAAATGAACTGATGTTCGAGATTTCTAGTTCTTGGGCACGGGATGATGAGGGATGATGGCTTTGGCGAGACTGATGCGAGCCTTGTCTGCGGCCACGTGGACCTTGTGCCCGGCCTCGAGGATGGCGCCCTTCACGGCACTGCCTGCCGCGTGAATCTTGTCGGCGACGACGCCCACGGCGTGGGCAGCCTTCTCACCCAGAGTGGGCTTGTGCTCCTCCAGCCCCTCGAAGTGGTGTGGGTGGTGTGGAGGTGGGTGGGCAAGAGCCACGGCCTGAACAACAGTGGGAACAAACGCTCGGGTTAGGCCTATATTGGTTGATGAGTGGAACGCCCTAAAAATCCTTGGGTAGATTTTGGCCGTTTTGTAATCCTGCGAAGCAATTTCTTCACTATAATTGAGAAGAATTTACTTTGCATTACAAGGGAAATCGAAATTGGTCCGTACACTGCAAAACCACGTGTCGACCATGTACACATAAGGAACAGAGTGCCTGCAGGTACGCACAAGCAAGTGTGAACAATAAAAGTTTATGAAAAGTTTTCTTCATAGCTTATACAGTTCTGTGTACGAGCTCCGCTTACGCAATTTTTAATACACCAGTAAATTTGTTCATAGCGGCGTATTGAAAATGTGTAAGCCGAGCACGTACACAGAACTCAGTAAGCTATGAATAAAAATGTTCATAAAGCTTTTAGTGAGTGTGCCTATCAGGTCGACTGTTGCAAGTGTGTGCCTGACAGGTCCACACGTAGATGTAGGGTGCACGGCAGGAAAGCAACTTTAACTTTTAGGACTAAGATCCTGTAAAAAGGGCTGAACTAAGGAGTTGTGAATCAGTTTCTGCCCCTTGCAGCGAGAGAATTTTCCGCTTCAAGCGAAGTCAAGTATCGTTCTCCGTACCTGCAGCGTAGCCGTGTCAAACGAGTCCCCTAAATGTATTCCTGCCAGGAACACACTTGCAACAGCACTGGTAAGACAAGTGTGCACTGTGAACTGGTTGGCGTCTTTTAATGCCAAAATATTGGCGTCCTCTGGCGAACGCCAAATGCCCGAAGAACGCCAAATTTTGGAGTTCAAAGACGCCAATAGTTGGCGTTCTCAAAAAAAGAACGGCGATATTATGGATTCTTTGGAGGACGCCAACATTTTGGCGTTAAAAGACGCCAAATAGTTTATAGTGTGCAAATTGTGATTTTGCACACTACATCGTGTTCGGTGCAACACGACTGTCCGACCTGTTTTTCTCCGACCTGGTGATTTTTCTAAAATCCCCAATGGGCTTTCCGACCTAGGTTTTGTCGACCTAATTGACGTATAACATAGTTAGACACCACAATGTGTGTAGAAAATGCACACTTGAACTTAAACATCAATTGACGTGCAAAATTAAACACTTGTTTTACAAGTGAGTCAACCATGTCAGGCACACACGTGTAACAGTCGACCTGGTAGGTACTCACTTGCTCGTGCGTGCCTGCAGGCACGCTCTGTTCCTTCAGTATGTGTACATGGTTGACACTTAGTTTTACAGTGCAGCTGCCTAAGGAATTCATTTGTCATTGAAAATAAGAGTTTCGAGTCACATTCCTATGTACTTTGTTAACGACAAGACCATGTACTACATTAAGACTAGTGTTTATTTAACTAAATGCTAAATGTTGAATATGAGTGTGTTGCTGCCTCAGATGAACCACTGAGTCGCACTTACCGCGAGGGCTACAACAGCGAGGAGGGTGATGCGGAACATGGTTACTTTGGTGCGCTGAGCGAGCAGAAGTGTCGTTTGAACTACACAAACGCCCTTTTAAAGTGGTACGATTCACGCGAGTCGTGCAGAAACATTATGTGCAGTGCGTGCAGTGCGCCATTTCAGTTCCGATAAGTGCCACTCCGTGCCAATAGAAATTCACGAGTCATCGTCAGCAGTTTTTAGTCTCGCTGCACTACACTGACAAGTATAGTGCGCAGCTGCTAGTTGTGCACTCTTAAGTATTCAATTTCTCTGTTTAACCATCCCCATCCAGCGTGCTTTGAAAACCCAACAGCATGCATTGCAGGCTCGTTCGAACGGAAATTTCACAAGGACACCGATGGGCTTATCGAAAATAAAACCGGAGATCTCACTTAGTTAATATTCCACGAAAACGAGTTGAAGGTACAGCATGCATCTCAGTGCAATATGAATTAGATCAGGGTTGTTAACGCTAATAAAAATAATTAGCACGCTGAACATTAACGCTAACGAGACATGTTAGCGTTAGCGCGCTTACTCGATAAAATTTATAAAAATTTAGCGCGTTAACGCTAACGAAACTCACGTTAGCGCCCCATTAACGCTGTTAACGCGTTAACTGACGCAAAACGAGTCATCGCCAAAGTCCGTCTTTTCACTGTAAAATTCTTGCAAAGAATTTTGAAGCATTGTAAGAAACTTTGCATTGCAAACTATTTTCTTTGCATTGCAATCTATTTTCTTCGTAAGTTGCGAAGAAATGGTTTGCAAGGTTACGAACTGATTCTTCGCAAGCGTTACGAACAATTTTCTTCGTAAGGTGCAAAGAATTAGTTTGCAATGCGAAGGATTTAGTTCCCAATGCAAAGCACTATAGAACGCTTCAGAATTCTTAGCAATGCAAGGAATAGTTCTTCGCAAGCTTTTTAGTGTTCTTAACGAGAACGATGCAAAAACACAAAATTTAGAACACTTTGAATCGTGTATTCCTGTCACGCTGGCGTTGTCTGGTCAAAAATGTAGTAATTTGACGTATCGCAGGTACCACTGTTAACGCCGGTAATTACCAGGACCACCAGGACGCATTATAGGCGCTAGTCGCTAACGCTAACACAACAACAAAAATTGCGCGCTAACGATAACGCTAACAAAAATGACGTTAGCGCGGTTAGCGCCGCTAGCGCGCTAATTAGCGTCAACAACCCTGCATTAGATACAGCATGCATCTCAACGCATGCATTAGATACAGCATGTATCTCAATGCATGCGTCAGATACAACATGCATCTCAATGCATGCGTTAGATACAGTGTGCATACCATGCATACTACAACATGCAATGCATGCAGTTGGGTTTTCAGAATGCGTCCGATTGAATAAAGTATTGGACAGGAGTATAACATTGAAAATGTTGCACAAACCGGCGGCTGAAACACTTTGAGGTGAAGCGTTAAATACTTAATTTAATGAGTGAGAAGATGGGAAAGGAGAATTTTGTATCTAGAGGAGTTACTTTCTACCAGACATCTTTACGTAAACTCTGAGTGGAAAAGAACATTTATTGTCCATTGTCTGTATGCACGCATCTTTTATTGGAAAATTATTGTTCCATGCACTTTACTTGTCGGTTATTGTTGCTACTTAATAAGCTTTGTTTTAGGCGACAAGCGATGGAAAATTTTGGCAGCGGTTGTAAACGTACAGTACACTTTAGTTTTTTACAGTGCAGAGCGACCCGACCCACCCACACGCTGCGTCATATTGCGTGGAAGGGACAGACATCGGGGGAGGGGGTCATAGTCGGGATCCGGTTCGGGAGAGAGAGAGAGAGAGGATATAGAGAGGGATTGAGTGTACCGAGACCGTAACATAAGTTTCATGAATAAAATATGCCAGCCATGATTCTCTACGTCTTTACGTTCGCTCGGTTTTACGTCTCAGGCTGGCGTGCAGAAAATCTGAATAAAGCAGAAGACGTCGGAGGTCCCGCTCTCTAGGGCGGGGGTGGAAGTGAGAAGGGGGGGGGGGGACTGCAGCCCACGGCCCCCCGCCGTCCTGCCCGCCTCCGTGACCATCCGACGCCCGGGCATTTAGGCTCGGCCAATCAATACGGACCCTCCGGTGCATTTTATATCGGCTTCTGCCGGACGCTCAGCCGGCTACACAGGCCCCGCGCCAGCCAGCGCCAGCAAGCGCCGCTTAATGCAGTATTCAGCGAAAAAGCGAGCTCGGTTTGGACAAGCGCGTAAATATTTGAGCCGACCAAATCAGAGGCGGCGTCACGCAATCACAGATGGGCCGGCGACGGGCCGGGCCAACCCCAGGCCGTGCTGTGGGTCTGAGGATAAAACGGCAAAACTGGACAAAATTTTACGTCATCTTATTGTTCATTCCATATAGTTAACGCCGAGAAGTCTACAGTGTTAAATTCCTTGGCTAAAATTCGCAATCACAAAGTTCGGTACGCAGCGAACGCGGGAACGTTGTTCAGTATCTTCAGAAAGTTACGAAAACGAAAAATGTTGTTTAATTTTTGCTTTTAATTGTAACATAGCGACAAAAAGTTTAATGCAAAATCGAGTCGACGAAGATGTTGTCTATTGCCTATGCATGCAATTTTCAGATGAGTCTTGCTGCGTAGCTAAAACGCGGCATCAATACGCTACTTATTTCACAAAGTTTTCGCTGCATACTTTTCTGTAAGTGACGTCGGGAGCAGTGCCACACGTCTGTTTTTTGTGTGTGTACTGTACTGTCGCGTTCGCGCAATTCCTTATCACGAAAGTAGTAAATGTGAAGCACTTAACTACAGGTACAGTTCGTTTCGGTATGTCAGGTTCCCAGTTGCCACGCGTCTCTTGTGTTTCCCCCTGAGTCCTCCTGAGTAGGGGCCCGCCTGTCGCTGCCCCCCAACCCCGCCCCCCTCTTCACCTTTCGCTCCGCGCGCAGCAGACTGACAAAACCAGACACGTTTATGAAAAAAATTTGAGACGCGCTGTCAAGCAGCCTGCCTTACGGAACTACTGAGCGCGCGCGGCGCCGAGTGACGGGCTGCGTGACGGTGCAAACGCTTTATTGAAACTCACTTGTGCCTCTTTTCGCATGACACGTCATCCAGGAAGTTGCTGTCTTCCAACGATCCTTCTTTCTTTTCTCTGTCTCTCTCTCCTCTTCGCATTTCGTTTCACGGCTCGCACCACATTCGTCTGTCTCTCTCTCCCACCCACTTCCGCCCCGAGCCCCAGACCGCTTCACGGTGACGTGGGCGGGGCGGACAGCACAGAGGTGGAAACAAGGCTGGTGTCGGAAGCGATCGGAGCACAAAAACACAAATATATTGGTCGGAGGAGCGTCGCAGGATACGAGGACGGGCCGCTGGCGGGGCGGGGGCGCCAGTCCACAGCAAAGCCAGGGGCACATGGTATAGTGAATCACCAAGCCGGGACAGGAACTGCGCCCAAGGGGTCCTCCAAAACTGAGTGTAGGTACTGAGAACACGTTCACATGCTCCTGCATATTAAGCAAATTCTTGTGAATGCTGGTGAATATCAAGAGAATGTTATTGAAAACATTTTTTTGCATTAGCAGTCAATATTCGAAGTAGAGGAAACCACGAATACGTCATCCAAAAATGTGTCCCTTTGTTTAATATTTATTGTTCTAGATTTTCTTGCTGAGTACAGTTTGCGCTAGAGTTGAGCCCATTCGACTCAAAACAAGCGCAATCCATAACGGGTGCATGTAAAAATAGTGAGTAATATCAAGAAGACATTCTTGTGGGTGTGGCGGGTAAACTCGGGGTCGAGGTTGCACAATATCTCACGCTGTCGCACACCTTTTGTTGTATTACAAACTCGGCTCTTTATTTTTTTTTTGCTGCCCCGACTGCGCGCGCTGCAGTGACGAGGGGGAAGGGAGGTTACGCAGCGCTGCGACGGCCGCCCCTAACGGCCGCCAGTCACGGCACGCCGCCTCCAGGACACCGTCAGGACGCGGTGACCGGGGCCTCCAGCGGCATTCTCCACACGGCGACCGGAGGCTCCGGCTGGTAGGTGGTCTACCCCAGCTGCGCAGAGGCCTCCAGGACACGGTGACGGGAGCCACCAGCGGCACATTCTGCACACGCCGACCAGAGGCTCCGGTGACCTCCGGAACACGATGGTTGAGGTCTACTACAGCTGTGCCCCCCGGACGCGAGCCCTAGGACCCTCGAAACAATTGTCGTTTCGCGATATAGTCAATCTAATTTTTTGAACAAACTTTTGTCAGACTTTTTTTTATCTCACGCCGTATGTGTTGGACGTTTCAGAGGTGTCCGTGTCCTCTGTACAATTTTGTCTCATATATTATTAAGACAGGCGCAGCGCCGATAGAGTAATAGAGGGTCTCCGAAAAGGTCACCGCAACTACTAACGGCCGCGGCGTACTGAATAAAGAACGGCCGGTGTTAACAGGTTGAACACGGTGAATTATTCAGGGGACAAAAACGGCGGGGGAAACACGTGACGGGGGCGAAGCCGACGGCACATGATCGAAGCTTCTCGGGCGGCGCCGCGCGCCACGGGGCGCTCCGACTGGCGCCATTCGGCGTCAACACACGCGCCCCCCGTCTCTGAACGCGAGGAGTGCGGCGCCGCCGCCAGCTCTGAGTGGGACGTGCAGGGCGTGGCGGGGCGTGGCGGGGTAAGGGCGAGGCGGAGGCGCACAACTGGATTAGCTAGCCCAGCCGCGTGGCCGTGCAACCTAAGTGCTGGAAGAGAGGCGTGGAGGTAGCGTCAAAGCTGCCGCTGCTGGGGAAAGCGCCGCGAGAGGGAAGGAGAGAGATAGAGAGAGAGAGAGAGAGAGAGAGAGAGAGAGAGAGAGAGAGAGAGAGAGACTATGAGGGAGAAAGAGAAAATAAACGTGTGCGAAACAAAGTTAAAAGTCGTAGAACTGTTCTGCTCTCAGCCGGTGTGGCTCCTGACCAAGCAGCGCCTGGACACGCCCAGCATTAGACTTTTAACGGCGGTGTGGGTCATCGTCAGAGGGTCAATCGACTTAAGTCACAACACAAGTGAATAGTGAAACTCAGTTCAGTTCTTATCAATTTAGCTATGGGAAATTTTGCCCCTGTGCCAGGATACCTGCCAAAAAATAAGGGCCGTTCTTCTCAGATTCATTCGGCAAATTACGGGAGTCCTGCGCCTACGAGACTCAGGGTAGGCTAGCCCGCAGGACACGAGTGCATGAGGGCACGACGTTGCCTACCTATCAGGCACTAGGAGGGAACATAGGCCTAGACTGAACTTGGCAGGTTCGTCATAGCGACTGGATTTCTGAATGAACCCTGAGTGGCATTAGCTACATGGTTATAACAGATTTGTGCGAATAGGCAGCGAAAGTACTTGCGGTGGTGGTGCACAGATTTTCCGAGTATGATAGTAAGTTTTTGTTTCCTAATGCAAAAAAATAGTTAAATATAGAATCTTTTTTTATTGTGGGAACTCTGCTGCAACACCAAAACCTACGAATAACATACCTAATTCTTCCAAATTCTTTTTTCAACTATTTTCGACCTAAACAATCACGTCATTCTTCTCATATCGATGCTCCAGCGCGACCCATTCGCTGCTACATCTTGTATGAGTGCAGGCGCAGCTTTCGATACAAAAACAATCAGAGGAAAATAGCCCAATATGAATAAATAACTGCGGCTAAACGGCAGATAATGACAAACGTGTAAATTTATTATTCATTATTTTCCTCAGAGATAAAATAATTGATGTAGAGAGGTCTGCTTCAGAACGGCCGTGGTGGGCTGGGCGCCCCCGGCCGCGCGACCCGGGACGGCGGGGGAAACGGTGTGGAACTGCACCGCCACGCCATTTGTTGCGCTTTTATGAGGCAGGCTAGTCACGATCATCAGGGAGGGGGGGAGAGGGGGGAGAGGGGGGAGTTTGCCTGAGGTCGCGCCACGCGCGAAAGCACGAGGGGCGGAAAATAGTAAAACAAAGCGCATTAGGGAATTACAACTGCGTTATAAACGGAAAGCAGGTTCTCTCCTCTCTTTCTCTTTATGTGGGTGTGTGAGGGGGTGGTGGTGGTGGTGCTGGTAGTTGTTTGGGAAAGCAATGGGGGGTTGGTGGTGGGGAGGGCACCACGGAAGGGGTGGCCCTGGGGGGAAGGGGCTGCCATCTGCAGGGGATGCGCGTAGAGTCGGCCGCCCCGGGCCGACGAGTACGCCCGAACCGAAGCACATAAAAGTACCGGAGCGTCTTGTCCGTCCGTCCGTCCCGGTTCCATTCCCGTCCTACAAACATCTGTTCCGGATTCCGTCTCTCTCTCTCTTACACACACACACACATCAGCAGCGTGCCTCTTGTCCTCCTACATTGCCCCGAGCAGACACGACACAACCCTGTGTCCTCTCTCTACACTGCCGTAACAAAAATAAAAGAAAGAGAGAAAGAGAAGGGTGGGGAGATAAACTTTAACCAAAACGAGCGGCTCATCCCCCCATTTTCATTACCCGCACGATGGTTGTCGCGGGGGTTGACCCCGAGGGGAAAGGGGAGGGGGGGGGGGCGTACGGCGTGTGACGGCCCGCGGAACATTATGCAATGCAGCCCCCTTACTCCCCCCCCCCTTACCGGCGGAGCGAACTGCTGCCACTTCCTTCCGGCGCGCGCGCTCTGCTCCACGCATGCCGGAAACGGAAGTAGGATTTGGCGTCTTCGTGCGACCTCGCCATGGGAGTAGGAGCGAGACGGGGAGAGCGTAAGAGAGCGTGCGAGAGCTAGACAGAGACAGACTGAGAGAGAGGGA